GCTCTCAGATTTAAAGTTCATTTTTGTTTTTTAAGCTATTTGTTGGAACTTAATTGTTGGCTGATGATTTTTGTTATTGATGGTCATTGTTAATTCGTCAGCGATATTCTTTTTGCTGGTTATTTTACTATTATTTATGGAAAGATGTTTTATTGCATTAGTATGAAATTTACCAGCGATCTTCTTTATCATATCCAATAGAGACTTTGTTTTTGTCGCTGAATTAAGTTTGCTGACGTAATTTCTCCAACATTCCTGTTTGGTATCTTTGATTATTTTTCGAGCTTTTGCTCAAAGTTACTTAAATTTCAGCAAATTATCAGTTGTGAGCTCTTTGTTAAAATCCCTTAATGCCCTTCTTCTGAGCCTAATAGCTTTACTGGTTCGACATTGTAACCTATTTTGATTATAGATGGAATTTTAGAGGAGTTAAATGTAAGGATGTATGTATCCATAAATAATTTTTCACCATTTCTTCTAAGTGAGAACCTTCGATAATCATAGACTCTCTGGCTTCCCAAAGCAGATGAAATTTCTTCTGGTATGAGCAGAAAGAGATCTCTACTTTTAATCACTCCCTTTGATGTATTCAGTCTTGTGTGAGGGAAAATTTTAATATTCACATTGTAAAAAGTCTTTATTTTCATTATAAATTCCCCATGTTTTCTGGTTTCAACCTCCGCCATCAAATTACCGTCTCTCATTTTTTTAATTGACTTCGAATTAATCCAACTGGACAATACTTTCTCAATCAAGAAGAGGAATCGAGCACAAAAAATCTCGGAAAGTCCGTATTTTCTTTTTCAGAAACTGAGTCCGAAAGGTACCGCATGGTTTTTTTTTTTTTTTTTTTTGATTCATCATTTTTATGAATTAAATTTCATGGCCTGTGCTCCCCACCCACCTCGGAGCCCAACGTTGTCAAGGGGGAAATCCAATCGCCTTGACAGGTCAGGGTTACACAAACCAGCGTAGTCTTATTCGTGAGTGACCCGGAACACCTGTCACTACATTTGTCGCCCCTCCCCAATTTTTCAATGCACAATTTGAAGCGTTAACAGCTATACCCAAGCCTAAATGCCTCTACGAACCGATTTACAGCGCCTTCTAACGCCTATACATTAGATTGAGTTGTTATTCATCCTATAGTTTATTTGGGTAAAGTTTCCCTAAAGTAGTCAATTTGGTATAGGCGTTAGGGATTGACCAGACCAACCGATTTGATCGGAACGGGCCTCTCCGACCACCCGTCTAGTCCAGGTAAGAGCCAAAGTGGTGTGTCGGGAATCGGAATTATCTAACCCTGACCGCTGAAACCCTCAACCACCAGGATCCAGTCCCGAGCTATCACGGGTCGCCACACCGATGGCCCCATTGAGAGGAGGTTACCCCTCTGCAGAAGTGCAGTCGGTGTATTATGAAGCCCCAGCTGACAGGGAGCAACTTCAAGTGAGCAAGAAATCAAATCCGTTTTAGTGCTTACATAATGATAGAGAAAAAAAAAAGAAATTCTGTTGAATAACTATTATAGGTAGAACACTTAATGCTGATGGAAACAAGTGTTAATTTTTTTTTATTATTATTGTTAGCTTTTAGTGTAATAAATAAATATTTAAAAGTTGTTTTTTGTACACATTCTTGTAGAAATGTATTTTTATGAAAACCAGACGGATTGTGAAAAAAAATTGTTACACATGTAAATCTTGTAGGCTCAGCGGTTTAAAAAAAAAAAAAAATAGAAAGCCCAAATTTTTAAGGATTCATTTTGAATTTGCGAAAACGTATTTTCCGTATTTAATAGCCAATGAGAGGCGTGGTTTGACGATCGCAAGAGAAATTTCTCCTGCAGTTGGACAAGGAAAAAAAGAGAGAAGTATTCAAAGAAATTTTCCCAAAAGCCTCACTAAAGCACGAGCAGTGTAGATATAAAAGATCTTTCAAAAATTGCCATGTCCCAGATATGCTCATGGGATGAGAAAAAGGTTTTTGGTTTGGTGGGGGGTCCAATAAAGGTGGTTGAACCTTTGTTTTTTTTTTTCTGCCTTCCTGAATATGCTTTCTCTCTTTTCACCATTTTCGAAATTGCAAAACATCAAAAGTTTAGTCCTTGGGAGCCTTCTGCCATATTAGAAATTGTTATTGGTAAAAGCACAAAAGGATATTTTGTGCAAATTTTGTATTTGTATACAGCAAAAAATTTCCTTTAAGATTTTATATTGAGTCTTGTTACTTGTGCTTATTTTAACTTTAGGGATAAGAGAAACACTAGTTATTTTTCATTGCTACTCTAACTAAATTTTTATGTTTGGCACAAGAATTTAGGATTTCGTAGGGAGTATTTTTTTTTTTATAAGTTTAAACAATATTTTAATAAAGACAATTGGAAAATAATACAAAGCTTTGCAAATAGAGTTCATAATTTTAAAAGTTCGTGACAATGCCTAGGACACGCATTTTTACAGGATACTTTAAAAGATCCTACTAATATAAAAGCTATCATGCTGTGCAAAAATAAAGGAGGGGGGGGCGTCATTACCTTTTTTCTTACAAGATCAAACAGAAGTTTCAATAATTATGTGTACCAGACGATTTTTCAAGTGCAAAACAGCTACGTCTTACAATAGGTACCGTATTTTCCAATGGTTCTGATGCTAAAACGGAATAAATTACATCATTGACATTCCGTAGTACCGCCATCCTATGTATTTTAACATTGTACTGTATTAAAATACTTGTTTCTAGTAAAATATTTACTTTCTCACGACACTGAATAGAAAGGCACCAAATGTTTAGCCATTGCGTGATTTTTCTAAATTTTTTTTTTTTTGGGGGGAGGGTTCGCTTATTGTTCGATTCGCAATTCTCTTCCGTCTTTTGAAGACGAGCCGCAATTCTCTTCCGTCTTTTTGAAGACGAGCCGCGGTTTATCCATGGTTTCCTGTTCTTTTAAAGTTTACTTCAGCTCTGTACTCTTAACACTTATCCTTTCCTACACCAATTTAAGTTCACGCAGTAACCCTCTACCTAGAGAGCCTTGTATTGGGTGACATCTTTTCTAAACCCTGCTTTGTATTTAATTAGGGTTTTTTAAGCGCAGCTGAGATGTGACAAGGGCGAAAGTATAGGCATCCAGCGAGGATCTAATTCAATATTAAGTAGTAATTTATGTAGAGAGAAAACCTTGCTAATCATTGCACCACATTAAATATGGTTAACAAAGTGCATTTACAAACTTGCACTTGATAAGAGATAAAACAATAAGAATAAGGTGCGCGTATAATACCACCTTTTTTCCCTTTAATCTTCATTCAAGATTTCTCGTATTATGCACAAGAAAATACGTTAAGCGTTTTGGAAGAGCTTGAATGTGTAGAAATAAAAAAAAACTGGTTTAGCAAATTAAATGTTTCTGAATGGAGATGACCTTTGCTTCTGAAATTTAAAATTACGGCTGATATTTCGGTTTATGGCGGGAGTATAGGCAGTTGAAATTTCTACGATAAGTTAAAAATTCTGATATATATATGTATATATATATATATATATCTATATTGAAGCAAGGTCAATAAGAGTTTAGGGTAGCTATGCAGCTTGTAAAGAATCAAGTCGGGGTATTAAACTCGCCCCTTTTAAAATACATCAGTAAATGGTCCGAACTGCTTGAGCAATTTTTTGCTTAAATACTCAGAAGTTGTAAACTAAAGTGTTCATAACTTAAATTGGAAGATAGTTATTCATGTCGAAGAAATAAAATGGCCAAGAGGAAAATGCTATCTACAGAAAAAAAAAAAGACAACCATAGCGTCACATAAGTGATGTTTGTCCACATAGTTGTGGTAAATACAGAGAACGTAATGGCGATAAAATGTACACAACTTCCTATCTACACGCCAAAGTGATTAACTTAACTAGTCACCACATGGTAAGAATGTCAGCTTTTCACTAAAAAGAAAAAAAATATGCAGAATGACAGTTTACAGAAGTTCAGACCTACCGTTAGCAAATGAATCTAAGTTCAAAATATGATTAAAGGAATCTTTTCAACGAAGTCAAACTTAAAATTTACAGTGGATGTGAAAGCATAATATACTAACCTTCATAACAAGCTTAAATTGGGTGAAATATTTATATAGATATCAATTAAAACTTACTTATATGTAGTCAACTTCTTAAGTAGAAGGTAGAATGCGGAAGTTTTCAGCAAAGTTAGGGAAAAAAAAAAAGTGGCTATAAAATAAACTTGTTTGACAAGCAAGCCAAACTTAAATTAATTTCTGTATAGGTTCAGTGGCTGTTATTGAATAAAAAAAGTTTTGAAATGCTTTTATACTTCATCGATGCTATACAGACATTAAATCAGGTCTCTCCAGGTGTTATTAAAAATTTAATTTTTAAAATTAAATCCAAGAAACAATGTTTGGGTTGGAAAAAAATTGCATAATCTGTTATATCGGGATTAGACAGATTATGCAATTAGAGTCGTGCACAAAATTAGGAAGGTTCTTAAGACGAAACTTGAGAATTTCAGGTGTTCAATTTTTGGCAACAATCTAAAAATTACTTCGCAGAAATTTATTTTCAGTCGCTCATAATAATTAAGGGGGGGGAAAATATTGTCAGAATCGTGTCCATAGAAGCTAAATGTACATGTGCACAATACAAACACTAGCAAAGGTAGCAGGATACTAGATTCTGTGTAAATGGATCTTGGAAAAAAAAAAAAAAAAAAAGAAAAAAGGGGGAAAAAAAAACCTTAGATGAATCTTCCGCCGGAACGGGGAGAAAATCACACGAATAGAAATAGGGCTGTACAATTTTTTTTTTTTTTACGGGTGCAATATAAGTTACCGATTCATATTTAAGTTTTCCCGACGAATTTCACGCCCAAGCGCGCTTACCCACACCATAGGATATTTTAAAAATTTAAGAATTTTGAAAGTTAAACTAAACGATTGATGGGGGTTTCTACGAGATAACGTTGAAGTTAAAAGTGCATTCAGTCAGCGTTCTGAAAGAATAGGAGATTCTCTGCCTTCAAGTAATCGCTTCTTCCACCAACGAACCTTCTGTTCTACCATACCAATCCTTGGCCGATATTGTGGGTAGAAGTTTAACAAGTCCTTCAGAAGTTCTTCGTTGTTTCGAAGCTTCGCGTTCCTGTAATAGTAGTCTTCTATCTTCTCCCAGATGCTGAATCGTTCTTCCAGGAACGTATCGTCATCGACTCGTTGCTCGCTGAACGGATATTTGTGCGTCATCAAGGTGAATTCTAGGACTCCAAGAGCGTAGATATCCAATTTGAACGGGAAAATCGTACCATGGCAAGTTTCGGGTGCACTATATACAGTTCGTTCAGAGCTGGATAATTCAAACGATCGACTAGGGTTTTCTGCATTAACGCAAAAGGAGAAACCCGAGAGTTTGACAGTCAAGTCACGGCAAATCAAGATATTATCCATGGAGAGACCAGTGTGCGCTACCTTCTTATTGTGCAAGTAGTGAAGTGCCCGGCATAGGTCAAGCATTATAGCACACACGCGTTCCTCCGAGGGGAAAGGGTGGGTCTGTATATAACACAGCAACGAACCAAATACATCTTCGGTAACAGCGCAGATTCGATCGTCTATCTGGAAAGTTCCATAGAGGCTTAACACAAAGCTACTATGAAGCTTACTCCACCAGTATAATTCCCTGTAGACTCGATAGCAGTAGTCGTGCGTACGGTTTCGCAACTGAAATATTTTAGCTGCTCTCAATTTAGAACTGTCCGTGTCGTATAGACAGACGACACAGCCAAAAGAGCCGCAAGTCCATTGGGGCCGCGTGCCGCGTACCTCGACGCCAAGCATGAGGAAGATATTTGTTGTTGTAGAGTCTATTGTACGCGGTCTGACAGAATGAACCATAGAGGTCTGTAGAAATCTCCTGTTTTCTCGCATCCAAGAAAAGATGTTGACTGGCGGTGCCAGCAACAGTCGTAACCGGATCTGCTTGTCCGTATCCCAGGGTTGATTGCAGAACATTTGTCGTTTAGTCATTTCCGTTTTTGACGTCGTGGCGATTCTCTTTGTCTGTTTCTCTTCAACTTTTTGACACTTGGACATTTTCGGGCAGTAAGTTGCATTAAAATCCGGTGCAAATTCAAAGATTTGAAATGCATTCATTTTTTTTTATTTTTTTTTTTTTTTTAATATTTAATACGGCCAAATTTCTCGCACATCACTCCGTTGTTCCAGTATTTAAAATGAAATAGTTTATCTGAGAAACCGTTAATACTTTTAGTTATTGATTAAAAATAGAGACCATCTCATTCTACTGAAAGGGAGATAACATTTATTTCTTTATAGAACATAAAATATTAATATCGGGCCTATTGAAATAGATATTGTATATTTATATTCTTGTATAAGTGTTGTTCCCGGCACTCTTTTTTGTTATGACCCATGTCAAAATTCTCAATCTTCCCAGTTTTTTGTTGTCCCTTGTTTTTATCTCGGCTTGGGCAGCCTTTGTGTTTTCCATGACGTCATTTATTTTTACCCCGCCCATTCCATTAGTGAGTGTGCTGCTGCTGCTTGATTCTGTCTAGTAGTTGAATGTAGTGGCCTCCCTTATTATTTTGAGGGGTGGACGTTTCCTACTAACATTGTTTTGTTTTAGTTTTATCTTTCGTTTACATTTTGAGTTTGTTTTCTGGGTTCATCTCCACTCCCTCATCACTTCATGACTCATGAGATTTTTATTTATATATATGAACATTGAAATTTTTATGACATGTGGTGTTTTGTAGGACCCTTGCGAATATGCAGTATTTTGGTGTATGTAGGATTGTTAGGTGATGGATAAGTTCTTGTGGTAAGTGAGTAAATAATAATGAATGAATGGGTCGCGAGTAGGATTAACTGGGATTAGGAAGACCAGCCTCTTCATTTTCCCCCTTCGGCCTTGTGCCACAATTTCTGTAAGAACAGAAATAAATATCTGTATATTTATAGTCGTTCACTATGGAGTAATGGGTAGCAATTTGGTCTGAGTTCGATCCTCAGTGCAAGACTCATATGTAAGCTATCTATCAACATTATGTCATTTTTAAGGTCATTTATTTATTTATGACGACATAAAGCTAATCCTCACAACCTCTATCAAAAGATGGGTAAATCTTGCGCGACTGTGTAAAATGAAAGGGGCTGACCTGGAGTGGCACTTGGATGTCGGTTAGGTACAGGATTTTGTCCTACCAGGGTTGAACAGAGGCAACCCGCCCCGATATTTAGGCTAGTTTAGGCTTTTTTAGTTTGAATCTTTAGTTTCCCGTTTCTGGTTAACTTAGCTAGGGTATGCATGCTCATTGACCCCTTTTATTTCTGTCCCTATTTTTCTTTTGTTTAATTCCCCATCCCCTCCTTCGTTAGGTGGTCAGTGACGTCAGTTCTCTGGTTGTTGCGGGATGACTTTCGTTTCGTGTGTGTGTTTTCGTATTTGTTATTGTGTCTAAATGAGTGCATGTTTGTGGGCGTGTTTGTTTTTTTTTATAATGTTATAATCCCGCAATTATTTCGTCCTGTTAACTGATGTTTCTACCACATTTACGGATGGGGGGGGGTATAACTAACCCTATTTTGTTTTGTTTCATATAAATAGTATTAATTCACATTGTAAATAATCATTGTTTTTTTTTTAAATTGTTGTTTTTTTACTTCCCCTCTCCCCACAGGCTTTGAAATGTACATATGGAGACTAGTTAGGATTTCATAGAGAATTTGAGGTATTATGGTGGACGCAGTAAGAAAGGTAGGAGTGAATGTGTTGTTTTGGTGATAGGAATATTGTTGGTATGTTTGGGTCCGTGTCTGGGACTAGCTAAGTTTAGAATTAAGACAGAAGAAGACCGTCCTTCCTCAACCCCCTTTTAGGCCTTGTGCCACATTTTGTACAAACGTACAAATAAATAATTATTCAAATAAATAAGACTCAAGATGAACTTTATGAAACTATGATCTGGAATTAAAATGAAAGCAGTGATGGCATCTACCTACATCAATCATAAGAAATCAGGATGTTGAATTAGTAAATACTAAATACTTCAAATAGGTCTATGTATTGATCAGTCATCACAAAATTAAGTATAGGGAATATGGAAACTGAACATTGAATAGGTAGCGCTGGAGGTAGTTTCACTAAATAGCGCAAGTTGATACAAAAAACAATACATTAACTTAAAAACTCGAGTCATGTTCTTAAATAGCTTCGTCTGATAGACTTTTTTTATATAAATGTCGTGCATGTCGCCACACTCGTTCAGAAATATCTAAGCTGACAGAAATTGAACTGTGTTCGGACAGAACGATTTTTGAGCTTGGTTAGTTGATTTCAAGTGTCGTTGGTGCTATCGTTTGAAAGTAAGTACCACATTTTGTCTACGTTCGTCATTGTTGTGTTTTTTTTTATCCATTTTTGTCTGCGTTTTGAGTACATTGTTTGATTGAATTGTTTTGATTGTGTGTTGTGGGAGCGCCAACAGTATGACGGAGCCCCAACCTCTTAATGCCACACAAACTAAAGCGACCCCTTGGGCGTGGGCAATGGATAGGCCCCCATTAAAAGGACCCGAATATTATAAAGAGCAAAAAGACAAATTTGAACAGTTTATTAAAGGAAATGAGCTGTTACCGATGCAATCGGCCATGGAAACGGTGAATACCCGAACAATTTCCCTGTTGCCAACTGATGTCAAAACACGAAAATTAATTGCAGTCAACAGGGAAGTAATGGAAGAGGCTCTACAAAACCTTCAAATTGCGGCGAAAATTTTAGCAAGACGAAGTAATGCTATGTGGGACATCCTGCTAGTAACGGAAGATGCAGCTAAATCGCTGGCGGGTTGCATCCTGACGACCAAAGCTGTAAGACTCCAAACAAAGTATTTAGAAACCAGGAAGTCGAAGGTCACGTTGAATAGAGTAGCACTCTTTATATCTGAGGACCATTTGGGCTTTTTCGTTTCCCTCTTTTGGGGAGGTCTTTGAGGTCTCGCCCATTATGAGTAAGGCAGGCATAGCCACAGGTGATGCGGAAATTCTACTAAAGCTCAACCGGAAGCAATTTATAGAGATTCCAAACACGTTAATGTGTGAAGGCCAACTAATCTATTTGGTCATGGAAGGGTGCCGACCACTCTGCTGGGCTTGTGGAGCCGCGGTTCAGCTTTCCCAGGCATGCCCTGGAAAAATGGATGAGATGTCCTCACCTTGTGCCATAATTGTGTAATTTTTTCACAATAAACATCGAGTATGGTCTCTGTGATAAAGAGTTTCGAGCTATTTGGCTGACTTTCTTCAGCTTTCGCCGACTGAAGCGGCTAGATCTGAGGGTGAGATCACAGAGGGTAAAGTCGACTTGGTATTGAAGTGGGCCGGCAGCGTCAAGTCTTCGGAAATTGATGGTTTACTCTATGAATTGTACTTGAGGCTGTCGCAGATCCTTGTGCCGATTTTAACTGTTGTGTTCAACAACTGAAGTCAGTTAAATAAACATATATTATTTGTTATTTATTTTGATTCTGTTCGTTTATTCTGAAGTTTCCGATAAATATTACTAAGACTTTCGGATGCTTCTCCACTAAGACTTTGTAGTGTTTTCCACAAGTCAAATAATTTCCGTTTTTAAGAACTAGTAGTAATAATGAATATATTACCCTACCTACTAATCATATGTGGCAGTTAAAAAGAAATTTGCTGTACACTAACGTGCCTGGCGAGCTTGTGGAGAGCCGTGATCGCCAACATCCTGAAGGGATACAGCATATAGAAAAAAAAGAGCGTACCGTATTTTTTTTTCACGGTAGTGGCAGCGTACACAGTGGATTAAAGGTAAAAATGCTGTTGTCTTCCATCACTACACAACTGTCTCGTAACAGCTGACAAAAAAGGTTGATAAGCCGTAAAATCTCACTAAAAACAATCGCGTAACAAATGCAGATATCAAGATCCGTGGTATATAAATGAGAATAATTTGGGGGAGTTGTCAATGTATTTATATATCTCTGATTAATATGAATGTTTATTAGAAACTGGACTATCATCATCATCATCATCATCATCATCAGCCCTATGGCTGGGTGTATTTGTCGTCTCGCTGCGCAACTGAGCACATGAACTCGGTAAGGGTTCATTCATGCACAGCGTGTTTTGGACAACTTAGAGTTGGCGGAGCCTATCCCTCTACAGATTAGACCACAGCTTATGTCCGACTTAAAGGCTGACCTTGGTTACGGAAACGGGGACATTAATTCCCTTGGTGAAATCCTCCGTCCTGACTGTTGACCTCAGTATAGGAAGCCCTCCACCCAGTGATGTCATAACATCATCACCCCCACCCTGGATATACTGCTAGCAGTTTCATCCCAGATTTAGTCTGCAACTCGCTGCAGTTACTGAACTGCATATAGACAATTTGAACCACATTCTGATTATTCCTTTACAGTAATTAAACAGCGTTTCAAAATGGTCCGTTCGTCGTACAGTTCCATAAAGTACCTGACCCTACTTGCCGTAATTTATATTTACAAGAGTCAGCTCAGACCAAAAATGAAATATTGCTGCCATGCCACTTAAATAGTAGAAAAACCACCCACATTCCCTTCGTCTTCCATCGGCGAAAAGTAAGTTTCATTCAAACAGCTTCTTCCAGCGAACCACTGCCCTATGGAACAGACTCCCTAGACGATGTTTCCGCGATCACTACCATCTTAACCTGATCAAATATAGAGTCAACCGTTATCTTCCCCTCTTATCCATATAAACTACACCTTATCGTAACCTTCTACCTCGAGTGCCCCTCGGGCCCTGTATATGGTGAAATTTACTATAAAAAATGTCTTGGCTGGAGCTTCCCAATCCTCACTTTCTATTCAAAAGCGTTTACACTGCCTTGTGGGTGATGAAATATTTTTCACCCGTTTAACACAGACGAAACGTTACTCGCCTCTAGTTACTCTGTCGCTATTTCCATGGCAAATGTTCAGATGAGCTACATTCTT